GATAGACGACGCCTGACAGAGACACCACCTTCACTCACGTCGGTATTATACCACCGCTGGGCTCGCGCGTCGTCGTCGCCGCTCGCCGCGAGGACCCGATGGACTTCGTACACCTGATGCGCGCCCGAGTCCTTGATCTCCTTGATGCTCTGGAACGTGAGCTGCAGCTCGCCGACGAAGCCGTCCACGTCCACGTTGAGCTTGACGTCGCGGTAGCCCGACGTCCCGCCCCGCAGATTGTCCTTGCACCGTAGAATTCTCAGCTCCTCGCCGCGCGCCGCGGCGCGTAGCTTCGAGATGGCCGCGTTGAAGTCGTTCGCCGTGCCGTAGACGCCGGTCGCGCGCTCGACGTCGACGACTCGCGCGACGTCGCCGCCGTAGTCGGCCTCGGCCTTTTCCTTGATGCGCAGCGTGCCCTTGCGCGGGCCCTGGAAGTAGGCGCCGCCGGACTCCTTGACGGGCTGCTCGAGCGCCGCGTGCATCGCCTCGGCGCGCTCGCTGGCCAGCGTGACGAGCGCCTCGACGGTCGCTCCCTGTGGGAGCGCGCACCGCGGCGGCTTCTCGCCCGGGAATTCCGCCTGGAGCGCAGCGGTCTCCCGGAGCAGGTCATCCGCGGCCTCAGCGCAGGCGGCCCACGCCGCATCGTAGAACGCTTTGACGTCCTGCTCCGCGCGGGAGATCACGTCCGTGAGTCCATCTCGATCGCAATGCTCGACGTCGCGGCTGCCTCGCGGCGTGCGCGGCACGGCCCGCTCCACGTTGCTGCAGATGATCTGCACCTGGTCGACGCTCGCGCTCGCGCCCATGGCGTTATGGAGCTCACGGAAGGAGTGCGCCCATATCCCGCAAACAATTGAAATTCAAACACGCATTATTGAGGACATCGTGAAGTGCTCTCGGTTACGATGGCTGAGATGCCTCGAGCAGCCGCGCCGCGCCGCCACGGCCAGCGCCGGCGAGTTGCGCAGTAGTAGTCGCCTAAAACAAGCATGGGCAGCGTGCTGTCCGGCGAGGCGGACAAGGTCTCGCTCACGAAGGCGCGGCGCCTCTGCGAGAACGCAGGCCGCAGCTGGGACGATGCGTGGAGCGCGATGTTCTTCGCGGCGCGCACGGATCTGCTCGAGGCGCTCCGTGCCGAAGAAATCGCCGCGCTGGCCCCGGCGCCTGCGGCAGCTGAGGACGTGGACGTCGCGGACGCTGGGGACGTTCCCGAGGCGGACCCGGACGAGGCCGCGTTCGGCGGCGGAGAGGAGGCCGACGCCTTGGAAAACGACGGCGACGACGGCGCGGCCGACGACGACGAGGCCGACCCGCTCACGGCCGACGGTCGGCCGGCGGCGGACCGCGACGACCGCTTCGCCGCGGAGATGAAGCTCCTCGTCATGCACGAGATGGAGGCCCGCATGACCGTGTCCGACGACTTCGCGCGGCAGCAGGCGGAGCGACGGTCGCGGCTCACGGAGCGCCTCGCGGCCCGCGCCGAGACGCGCGAGTCGCGCGTCGCCGTCAACGAGGAGAAGCAGTGGCGGAGCAAATTCGCCGAGTACCAGGCGGCCAAGGCGGCGAAGCTCGGCGAACCGCGGCGGCCCGCGGCGTCCGCGAAGACCTCCGAGCCGCGACCGCAGCGCGCCGACGCGCCTGAACAACTAGAGCCGCGGCGGCCCGACGCGGAGCGGGAAGGCGAGGCGCGGCCCCGCGCCGGCGTCGTCGCGACGGCGCCGGCCGCGCCCCTCGACGCGCCCGACGACGTGCCCCTCGACGCGGCGATCGAGGCCGCGATCGAGGCCGTGGGCGGAGAGGGCGTGGCGAAGGGCAAGGACCGCGAGAAGCGGGGCTCGTTCGCCAAGCTCCACAAGGTCCGCGACACGCTCCGCATCCTGCGCGCGTGGCTCCCGAAGCAGCGGCTCCGCGCTGCCTGGGCGCTCGAGGGCGGCGCGTCGGCCTACGGCGACGCGACGAGCGTGCGCTTCGCCGTCGGCCAGCGCCTGCGGCTCAGCGTCGACGCGGGGTTCGTGCTCTGCGAGGTCGTCCGCTCGCCGGCGAGCGACGCCGAGGGCTCGGTCCACGGCGTCCGCGTCGTCGGGACGGCCGGCGACTCGCGGGACGTGGACCTCACGAAGAGCGGTCTGGAAGTGCGACGCGGCGCCGACGCCGCTGCCGCGGTCGCTCGGGACGCCCGGGTCCTGGGACGCGGCCGTCGCGGCCGTCGGCGGCACGCGGTTCCCCTACGCGCTCGAGTTCGGGCCCTCGGCGACGAACCCGCGGTCCACGTACCCCGGCCGGCCACCGTCTCCGCACGACGTGGCGATCCGCGCGACGCTCGGGTGGCCGCTGGCTCCGGCCGCGGCGGGCGCGTACTTTACGCTCGCGGGCATCTCTCGCAAGCAGATCTCGGACGCGCGGCACCGCCTCGTGGCCCCCTCGGCGGACCGGGGCTTCTACCTCCTCGTCGGCGACGTCGACGGGCGCCGCGTCGCGGTCGGCGA